TCCAAATATAAAAGAACAATATTTTCAAATAAGAAGAAAACTAACTTTGATTAATGTTGATTAAAGGTAATTTAATAAAGAAATTTATTTATATATTATTTATATATCACGTGAAAAAAAATTTTTTTATTTTTAAAATAAAATTGGGAAGAATTATATAAGTTTTATTCTAGAATAACTTTTTAATATAAGTTTTCAATAATATATTATTATAATGAAATTGTCATTAATGAAATTATAATAAATGATAAAAATTTATTCGAACTATTCCCAATTAATACATTTATAAAATCCGATGATAAACATAAAAATGAAAGGTGTCGAGCAAAAATTAAATACGAATCTGATAAAATGTTTCTCGTTTTCTTATTATTAATATTTGCTGACTTATTATTTTTTTGTTGCAATGAAATGCAGGAATCACGAGACTTTGATTTACGTAACTAAATCATTATTTTCTTGTATCGCATTTATAATTTTTCCGTTGTATCTATCCATTCCATTTTCATGATTTTTAGCTTGTTAGCTTATATATATATATAAATGAGCAATTCCTTTAAAAAAAATGCAATATATACATGCAAATAAATTTGACAAAAAAGAAAATTTTGTTTTTAATAAATATCGATATTATCGCGCAAAACAGGATAAATTATAACCTATTTCCAAGCTACTTTAAATTACTTTAGCCGTACAGTTTGCATACATAGTTATAATACTCTTTCGAAAGACGTAAAAACTTGCAATTAACGCGAATAAACCTATTAATTAAATTCGCCGTTTTGCATGCAGATTTCATTCAAGTTTCGATTCGTTTCGAACATTTAAGTGCTTATCTTTCCAAAAATGGCATTTTCATTTATCACGCTTGCAATTTATCGAAATGATTTACGATTGACGAGTTTTACTTTTTTCTCTGTCAAGTGTATCGAAGCTTAACAATGTCAATCGCTCCTTTCCAATCGACGATTCGCAATTTCACCTTTTCGATCGCTACTTGCGGTCATTGTATCGTCTTGTGCTCATGCCCGGATTAAACTAACCTCTTAAAACTTTTGGACACAATGTTCCTTCATTAAAAGATATTTTTCCGCTTTCTCTTTTACATTTTTCGACCTTCCATGAACAATTTAGATTTACTAGATCTGGGATTTTCTTTAAATGCTTTAGTCAAAAATTTTAGAATATTAAAATCTTTATTATAGGATTGTTTATCCAGTCAAATGTTCAAAATGCTCATCAATAAAAATCAAATTTTGAATTTCATATTCTTTCGATTCTTTCTTTCGTATATAAACGGAACAAATTATTTAGAGAAAATTAATTTCGAATATTATTTAGACTTAGATATCTTATTTAATAATTCAATGAATTAATAAATAGTTATATCCGATTTTTTTCTCTTCAAAATTTTCATCGCTTTGAATTCAAGCCCTCTTATATTAATTCTTCATTGCTCGTAAAAATTATCGTCCAATTTTTTTCTTCATCCCAGTGCAACACTATTCTGTCGCAAAGGTCTACGATCGGATCTATAAGAATGTAGTGGTTCTAACTAGCCCCACCGTTGATTAGATGTCGGACGAGGGAGAAATTCAGGCTTAATTGCCCGCGGAACAAGATTCTGAGCGCGCGTTAACGACGAGGTTAACGAGGAGCCGCCATAGTGGTTTTAGAAAAGTAACGAGACCTGAGCGAGCAACCGAGGCTTAATCGGGTGGATAATTTCGGGTTGCAAGCGGATTCAAGCGCGAGAACAGCTGACCCTTTGAGAAGAGAATTCCAAATTGCGGAAATATATAGGGTACATCCTTGAATATGAGATAATGAGAAAGAAACGTTGTATACATATTACGTTTTGTGCGATATGGTATATAGAGTGGGTTAAAAATTTTGGATGTAATAATAATTGAAAAGGAGAGTCTGTGTTAAAATTTAAATAAAAGAATTATACTTTGAGATTATTATTATTATTATTTTATATGATATGATATATAGGGTGAGCTATGAAAAATGTAGTATAATTGAAAAAGGAATTATTTTGCTTGTGTTAAGAACTAAAGAGATTATACTTTGTTATGAGATTATACGATGATATATGAGATGACATGTAGGGTGGATTGGAAATTTTGATATATAATAGTCGAAAAGAAGATTCTGTATTATAAATAAAGAAATTATATTTTCAGATTATTATTATAATATATTTAATTATATTATAATTAATGTATATATTTTATATGATACGATATATAGGGTGGGCTAAAAATTTTAGTGTATTTTTTTTTTTAAACAAAGAAATACAATTTATTGGAAGATTCTAGATTTATAATCCCAAAATACTGAAATATCTTTTTATATTCATATTTGTAATTCATCATTTTTAACTGAATAAACCTCGATCTAATTAATCAATTTTACAAAATATAATAAATTCCTCATTTTTTTTATATGTTTGTTCTCGACTATTGAATACACATTTTTGTTCTCCAAGTTTTGTTTTCCCTTCATTTTATCCTCTGAATTTATCAATGCACGAGAACACCTGTTCCATGTACCTCAAACGATGGTAAAAAATCGGGTAAAATTACAAACAATTGTACATCTTGCATCCGTCTCATTATACTCGTTACATTCTCAACAATCGTGCTGGCTTGTTTCACTTATCGCTACGAATGGTGAGCTCATAGGGCAGACAGATGTTATTACTGCACACGTTGTAATTAGACGTGTCCACCTTAACGTTTATCGCACGCGTAAAAACATTATTATTCCCGTTATAAGTCACTTTTTCAACACATAATTTTTCCATTCCAACATTCGAAGAGTTAAGAATCGCGCGAAGGAAGGAAAAAATTCGAAACTTGAATTAACTCTTAATGAAAGTGTTAGAAAATTCAATTTAAAAATTTAAAGAGATGCTTAAGGGGAAATAAATAATACAATGGAGCGTCGATTATCCTAATAAATTGTACTATATTGGGGGGTCTATTTGAATGAATTGGATAATGGATAAGGAAGAATTGTAGAAAATTTTTTCAACAATTTTTAAAATATGAATGTGTAATAAGAGAAATATATTTGCAAATTAATCTTTTGATTTAAATATTCATTCGTATAATCGTTTGAATAATTAAACTTTCGAATAAAACTTTATATAATTGGATAAGCTATATTTAGATAATTGATGATTGAATAATCCATATTTGGATATTGATGTTTAAACTAATTTAAACGTTTAATTTAAATGTTTGGATAATTGATATTTATGTAATTCACATTTGAATAATATTTGGATAATTGACATTTAAGTAATCCACGTTTGGATAATTCATATTTAATAATTATTTGAATAATTTATATTTGATAATTTATATTTGGATAAATAACGTTTAGATAATTGCACATTTGCATAATTGTTATTTAGGTAATTTACATTTAAATAATCAATGTTCACCAATTTGAATGTTTGGATAATTCATATTTGGATAATGGACAATTTAATCAATGTTTAGTGATTTATGTTTGGATAATGGACATTTAAATAATTTTACTAAAATTGAAGATTAGATGAAGATTAGATTATGATAGATAACTAAAATTGAATAATTGGTATTTATATAATCTATATTTGGATAATATTTGAATAATTGACATTTAAGTAATCCAAGTTTGGATAATTCATATTTAATAATCCACATTTGAACAATTTATATTTGGTAATTTACATTTGGATAAATAATGTTTAGATAATTTACACTTGGGTAATCAATGTTCACCAAGTTGAATGTTTGGATAATTGCACATTTGGATAATCGATATTTAGTAATCCATATTTGAATGATTGACGTTTAAGGAATCTTATTTGGATAATATTTAATATTTAGTAATCAGTATTTGAATGATCAATATTTGGATAATAAACATTGTACTGTATATATAATGTAAAGATATAGATAGGTACAAAAAATGATAAATTTGTCAGGCATCATTTGTCACATCATTGTTCCATTTAAATTGAACCAACTACATTATCATTGCACTGATTCTTCTATTTGATGTTATTAACCGCCTACAGCCGCGTCATCATTGATAGTATCATTATTCTTGGTGTTTAGAAAGTGGAGGATCAATTATCTGAAATAATAATCTTAGAGATTTAGACATTTATATTATTGTAAAATATTTTCCTTGTATATATTTATTTTCCAAGAAAATAAAATAAATATTGTCGATGAATATTCAACGAATATTTCTATATTATTATTATTATTATTATTATTATTAAATGTATATGTTGAAAAATCTATGAAATTATCCACAGTGAAAAAAATTCTTCTAAGCAAAATAATCATTCAATTTCATCTTCTTTATGTAATTTTCGTTTTTGCATTACGAAAGTGTGAAAAATTTGAATTGTAGCTTTCGTTTATTGCTTGGTATAGCAATAAGTTTTGTAAATAAAAATGGATAAAACAAAAAAAAAAAAACTCGTAATATACACATACTATTCTTGAGAATAGTATAAATTAATAGCATAAATTATATTTAGAGACTTTAAAACATGCTTGAATCGTCGTCAAATATTGACAGTATAATAATGGCTAATTTCATTTTCTTCATAGATTCTTGAACCATTCAAACCTCCAAGAAAAAGTCATCCGTTTCCTTTTTACGATTAATATTAAATTTTATTTTATTTTAATTTCAAATTTCATTAAATTCAATGAAAAATTTAATATCCAAAATTTTCCATATTATTCCAACTTTTAATTATAATAATTTTCAAATCGAATAACAACTCATGTTTAAAACTCTCTTTAAAAAAAAAATAAATTAAAAAAAAAGAAAGATAAATATCTTTCTATCCTATACCGATATAAAGTTTAAATCCCCACCATAAAAAATTCCACTAAAAGCAATATTCGACCGCGAAATGAATCGTAGGCATTTTTCAATTCGAAACGAATCCCTTCATTTCCCTTTCGAATCTGTTCCAGATCCCCCCGAGTCGGAGGGCCCCTCTCGCAGTCGTTAGCGATGATTCCGCCAACGATGCACGGTCATGAATTCAATCAACCCCTGTCGAGGGTGGTTATGGTCCGTAAAACGGATCAAAGGACCTTCAGTAAGGGTAGGAGGGGCGGGGAGCCTCTGCTGGAAACGGTTACCAGGGAGACCGTCGAACTTTTCAACGGGGGTCGCGCCGAGAGGAAATATACGTCCGAGACGAGAGACATCGTCACGCCCAAATCGAACAGGTATGTCTATTTGTGTGTATGTATGTTCGTCATTTTCTCTTGATTGAAAGGGAAAAACATGGAGAAAGGAAAACTTTCTGAAAATGCAAATGAAGTGGTTCGTTCGACATGTATATATAAAGAAAAGACGTTTTGTTTTTTTACGATGTTCACTTAACTGGTAAAGGTTAAGAAAACTTGTCGGTTTTGTTATTAAATTTATCGATAGTGGTTAGGCATGTTTCCATGTAAATAGTTTACTTTATCGGTAACAATGAACGCGAGAATTCTTCATGATCGGTAACAGAATAGAAAATGTGAGAATTTTCGTTATTCGTAACATATCGAATATGTTAACATATTCGAGACTATGCCAAAAATCGAAGAAAATCAATATCTCGCTCGTGGATATTAATTTTCGATGAGTAGAAGAAATAATCGTAAAACAATTAAAAATGCAACGAAATCTAAAATTTTGTATGTGTACAGAATATAACATTTAATATTGTTAACATTTTATATTGAACGCAAAAAATAAACTGAATATACGGAAAATTTTTGTTTATTTTTCACTTTTTTTAAAAAAATTTATGATAAGCGTCAACTGTCATAAAATAGGAAATTTTCATGACTCATGGCATATATTGTAGTCTCGAATGTGTTAAACGACTGATTATTTAATTTATAGTTCATAAACAATCCACAATAATTTATAAATTTTAAGAATTTAAGGGAAAAGGCTAATTTTTTTTATATATTATTTTTAAATAAAATTTTTAGATTTAAAAAACCATAAAATCAAAACTATAAATATTACCGTTTATAATACTAATATATAACTATACAATACTAATTTATAACTTTACAATACTAATATATAACTATAAATATTAATTGTTTAACCAAGAAATATTGCAAAAATGTAATATTGCTATTTAAGTGTAAAGAAAAAACTATAATAATGCTCACTTAAATGTTCGAATATGGACTTAAGAGGGGAGAAATGATTTCTGCGAACTCAATCGAAAAAAGAAATGAATATGAGTGAGATATCGATACTCGATAAACTCGAGACTCAAACCGCAAAGCATCAAATGTTTAGTTCGACACGCTCGAAGACGATTGCAAGCATTCTAAGAATTGGTATGGAGTTTAAATGAGCAAAAATGCTGATTAAATGGACAATACTATAATCGTTTGCGAATTTATTTATATTTATTTTTTATCTTTTGACATATAAATTAGAATTAAAAATAACATAAAGAGATAAGATAAGATAAGAGATAAGATAGATCATTCATCAAAAAGCAATATAAGGATAATTGCATAAATAAAGATAAAAAATATATGAAAAGAATTTATAAATGATTAAGTTTATTTTTTCACTTTTGTGAGCATCTTGTTTGGTATAAATTTGAAGAGATATATTAATATAAGTGAGCTATTAGATGGTTCTTGAAAATACAATGTTGAACATACCACTTGATTTGGGTAAGAGTTTGGAATATGTAATTGATGGTTATTGATGATTTTATTTTTTTCTCCTGATTTGTTTCGTTTTTGTTGTTTTTTGTAAAAAGTTTGGAGAATTTTTGGATGTACAGTCGAATTTGTGTAACTTGAAGAATTTTATAAAACTGGAATTTTATTTATTACATGTTCTTCTGCATTGTGAAAACTTTTATATATAATTTTTAATCTTGAAATAAATTATTAATTTAATTTTAATTATTTATATTTATATTTGAATTTAATATAATCAAAGTCTTCTATTAATCTCTTTTATATGACATTTAAAAATCAAAATTCATCTAGAAATAAAACTCTTGATATATATATGCTAGAATTTGAAATATGTATTATAATCTTTCTTTGAAATTTGAGTTTGACTGTACATTATTCTAAACAAATAGAGGATTCTACTAAATGAATTCTCTTAAATAAATTGTTTTTAAATTTGTTTTTAAGTTAACAAATTTTGTTATTAGCATGTGTAATTTGGAATGGGAAATAATTATTGAATGTCGTAAAACATTATTCATTAAAAATTACTCAGATACAAAAATTTCTCTAATATATAATATCATTCATTGAATTTATATCAGTTAATAACAAAATACATACATATATATAAAATTTGTTATACATATATATAAAATTCATAATATAAAATTCGTTCAAAAAATACGATTCCATAATTTTGAATCCAATTTGTGATAATTAATACATATACACTATTCATAACAAAATTTGTCCATAATCATAAAAATTACACGTAAACGTATCTTTTTATTTATTCATTTAGAAGATCAAACTTTACTCATCCCTTGGTTATATTTGCAATTTTCTTACACATACCAGTTTAGATAGTTACATATCAGTGCAAGATGTCCCAAGAGGAAACTTCAAGATATTATTTTACTAAGGATCAAATAAGGGATGGAGTAGATGTTTACTTAGGATATGTTGATTTTGAGCTATATCTGCAATGGAAGACATATGAGCAAATATTTTCACACTATTTCCATTTTTATTTATGGGAATTTTATTATTTGTTATTTTTCTTGAAAATAATTTTTATTCTTTTTTTAAAAAGAATTTCTTTTTTAAAAGAAATTTTATCTTGCATCCTGTTAAATCTTATGGAAGTTTTATTGTCGAGTTAAGAGTCTTGAGAGTCTTGTTGAAAACAACTTTTTCAATTAAGAATAATCGATGGCTCAATCGAGATCGACTGACCTTTGGTTTTATGTTTAATTTATGCGACCTTTCTTTTTTTTTTTTTTTTTTTTTTACGTAACAGTATAATTTCATAAGATCGATGGTTTTATTAGTTTGTTTACTGTGTATGGTCTTTTTTTTTATTACGTGTCTAACGATTACATTTTCCACATCATTTTTTTAAGTGAAAGTATGTCACTGTTTCCTTATTAAATTATCAATAAATAATTTTTAATTTTTTTTTTTTATAATTTATTAGAAGCTTTAACTGCTTTCCAAAAATTAAAAAATTTGACTTAAAAATCTCATTTTTTCAATTTTATTTTGATTATCCATTTGATCTTTTGATATTAATCTGAATTATATTTATTAATAATTAATATTTTCACTTGGGACATCTCGAACAATAGAGTAGATTTAATACAGGGTGTTTCAAATATGATCTTTACTGATTTTAATAAAATTAGAATGATGGTTCTATATCTGATAAATGCAATCATAATTTTCCAATTTTTCAAATTTTTAATTTTGTTGCACATTGAAAGATTGATAACATAAATATGATTGATAACATAAATTCAGAATCATAAATGACTGCAAAATATCAGCTTTAATGATTTATTCTTTTGAAAAAAATTGCAACTAGAAATAAATAAATTAGGTTATAAATTAGGATAGGTGGAATAGATTAATTTCAAGATTAAGATATTCTTTTTTTTTTTTTAGTGAACATTTTATTTACCAGTTTGAAATTTGAAAAATCTGCAAATCTAAAAAAAAGTTTTATCATTTTTTGTCATCCTAGAATAATTTTAATTTTACTCAAATAGATAAAAGACACATGAAATACTCAAATATTATCATATATTTTAGAAAATAATATAATAGACAATATATTATATTAAGTAATATATTAATTATAAAATAGTCAGCATAGAACAAAAATAGGTAAGCAAAATAATCATAGAATTATAATAAAAGAAGAAAATTATAATAAAAGAATAAAAATAGAAGTATATAATAATATATTTTGAAAAATATAGTACATCTTAAAAAATAAAAAAATAAATATATACAAACATAAAAATCTAAATATATATAATTTAAATAGAATATCTTAATTAATTGAAATCATTAAATTAGTGAGAATTACATTTTACTAAAATTATATCCACGCTCATTAGAGATATTTACAATACTGATATAGAATCATAGCTCTATAAAATTTCATTGAAATCGTCTTGGGTCACGTGCGAAGTCATTCCTGTATAAGTCAAAGGATATTCGGCTTGTGTACATCGTAAATCGTTACCCCTCCTTGTAGTATGCCCTCGCTCAACCTTAACGGAACGAAAAAGAAGGTGGTCGGCTTTGTCGACCAGCTGTCGCCTGAAAGGTATTCACCCATGGTGTACGGCAAAGCCAAACGATTCTAACGAAGCCGGCGTGAACGAGCAGTGCTTGGCCAATTCGACGGTGTAAGGGAAAAGAAAGAAAAAAACATCTTTCGTTTGTACGTCGCGCTTTCCAGGGCTTCGTTAGGGTCGGTGAATGGCCTTAGTTTTAATAATAATGACGTAGGCGACCAACACGAAGCTGAGAGAAAGTTCATTTGTCGCGAAGGAATTAAAAAGTAACGAGAATTTCAAAAGCGAATCTTTTTTATCGACTGAGAAAGAAAAGTGAAAGGCTGCATGAACTTGACCTTGGAGCAGTGGAGCGTTCTTTTCGAAGTATGAAAGTAATTAAGATCGAATAGAGAAACATTGGATGAAAAATATTAAGAATTGAACTTCAGAATCGTATAATCTTGCAATATATAAATAGTGAAATTATTAATTCCATCATAACTTTCCAATTTTTTCAGATTTTTCTTATAATTAAACGAATCTGTTTAATGGATAAGAAACGAAATTATAAGATATACGTAAATTTCACGACGAGCAATGCTATCTGTCGATTTCCAATTATCTTTCAAATGACTAACAAAACAATTCTATTCTTCGAATTACGATATTAACTCGATCGAAAAAAAAATCTAAGAACTTTCTATAAAGATAGAAAGGCAATTGAAACCGATATTATCATTGAATACTAACACTTCGTTCCTTCGTCCATATATTCCAAATTCGAAAAAAAAATTCTTTTCGATGATTTTACTTATCCAAAAATAACGGAAATTTAAGTATTCGTTTCTTAAAACAAGAACATCTGCTTCAAAAGCAAATTCCCCTGCAAAACTGCTCCTGTCCAATTTTCCAAATTTATATTCTCCAAGAACAATGCCCTCTTCACTGCGTTTGTCGTTCCCTCTCGAACGTTCAAGGGTTAATAAATCGTAGTTGAGAGAAGAAAAAGAGATGGCGCAATCTTTCTTCTGACCGTGGCCGTGGTCTCGAGGCGACACCTCGGGAAGAAGGAAGTAAAAGCTCGCGAGGGACGGAGCGTGTGGAAGAAGTTTGCGCGTAATTCTTCGTTCTCGTGTGTCCCACGCTGCTTTCTCTCGGCTTCTTGTATCGTTACTTCACCGGCTGAACGCTGATACTGTAAATACGCTGAGCTGTTGCGCGACAAAAGGAGCAACGTCGGGGCATTGAAAATGTCGGTCCATACAGATCTCGACGTTTTCAATGGAGCGGTTATTCACTGTCGCGCCGCTTTGAATCGTCTCCGTGGTTTAATTGAATTTGGCGTGTTGCGTTTAATGCGTACATCCGCGGAGATGTTAAAAAATTTTGCGTTTCAGGAAGCTTTGATCGAGTTTTATTCATTTTTTTTCCTTTTTTTACTTTTTTTTTTTTTTTATTTCAATATTGATTCAATAGAGTATTACCAAATTGAATATTTTCAATGGAGCGATTATTCACTGCCGTGCCGCTTTGAGTTAGTTAATTAAGTTTGGCGTGTTGCATTCAATATGTATATCCGCGGAGCTGTTAAGAAATTTTGTTTCGGAAAGTTGCTTTGGTTGAATTTTATTTTTTATTTTAATATTAATATTTGAAATATTATTTCACACTATTAAATTTTAATTAATTTAAATGTAAAATTTATTAAAATAATTGTAATAATGATTTTATATTTTATTTTATTACTTTTTTAATCGAATAACGACTTTTAATTTACGGACGAGAAAAATAAAAAAGATAGAATAATATTTATTGATTCTTCATGAACAATGTATAATTATTCATATAAATAAAAATAATTTTCAATCGTTATTCTTGCTGTGTCATTCATTTTGTATTCATAACGAAGTCATTCATTAATTAGCAAGTAATGGTTCGAAATAAATTATAAATTAAAATTAAAATTTTAATTTTCGACGAAATTTTTTTCTTTTAAAAAAAAAAAAGGAAAAAACATTTTAAATTTCTTAATACATATTTCAAAAATTTCATAAAGTTCCATATTTCACTTTCATATTTCGAATCTAATAATCAATTTTTCGATTTATCTCGACAAATGCGTTCGAATAATTAATCATCAATATCGAGCAATCATTCAAATCAAAAAAAGAATCCTCAGTGTCCTGCTAGTATCACGGTATTCAGCTTAGGTGGAATACATTCTGGAAATAGATTCAGAGGCACTTATGCAATTTCACAAACTTCACATTTAAAGACGATTCCCTTTTTCGATCATTTCGATTCGCATGCAAAAGATTTTTCTTTTTTTTCTAAACACACGCACAAATACATAAACACGCATGAATAGAGAAGGATTATCGATACACGCTTTTTTCCAGCTTTCAGCTTTCGAGATACAAAAAGCTTCCATCTATGAATTTATTATATTTGTGATTATTGATCATCTTATTGATAATTTTTGATATATTGATGAGCGAAGCAATTTTTTTTTTTTTTATTAAAAATTATCAGTAAAAATGTTATTTGTAATATAAGTTAGAAAAGTTAAAAAATTTTATTGTAAAATTCTATTGTAATTTATTTAAATCGGTATTATTGATATCTTAACGATATTTTGAAAAAAAAGTTAAATATTTTGAAATATCATTTGTTTCATCACATCTATAAATAATCATTAACAATAGATTTGAATAAGAAAAAATAATTTCATCTATTATCAATGTTTATCGATAACGATATCGATAGTCAGAATTCGAAGTTCTTGTCGAGACTTGAACATCGTTCAACACTTGTTTAATTTCGTTTGATTCAACAGGACGATGAGCGAGAAACAAGGCTGAAGAGAAACGGATGCTAATTTAACACGTTTCTCTGCCGTTCATGTTTTGCTTGTGTTTCTTATGGAGCTGTTAAAGTCGAGAACTTTTGCTTGGGTTGGGTGTATTTGAAGAAATAATTCGAGGGAATGAATTGGCGAATTTTATAAATTGCTTGATACTCATTTCTTTTTTTTTATTTTGATTTATATGTAACAAAATCGTTCTCTCGATCGTATAAAAATAATATTTTTTGTGGCCAAGTATAGAAATATCCAAGATAATTGTCGAAAGTTTAACGTAGCAATATAATTGACATGTGATGATATACGTAATAAATACTGTACTGTACGTAATAAATATTTTTAATTGCCTAGTTATGAAGATAAATAAATAATCGAATTAATAATCAAAGTTAAGAATAGATAATAAGAATAATGAATATGTTAAAGAAAAGGTAAAAACAGTAAAAAAATATGAAAAGAATAATGTGTATAGATATTTCAATAACCATATAATATATATTTTTAATACAATACAATTTCTATTCAATTCACCAAATATTCTTTTTTAAAAACAAATTTAAATCGATTCGATTAGAAAAAATTGAAAATTGAGCGAGTATCTGATAAATAACAAAACAGAGATAAATGTGACAAAATGAAAAGTTTGTCGAACATCTGGTGTATCTATATGAATTTGTGATTCGTTTAATGATGATATTCCAACGAATCCTCGAAAGACATATCGCGCACATATTGCAGGAACTGTGGACGCTTTAAGAAAAACATACAAGGCCATTCTGCACATGGCGATTGCTTGAAACAGCAAAGTATTAAAGAGATTAAATTTTTTTTCACCCATAATCGTTCAAGTTCAACTAATTAAGTGACTTGATATATTACTTTAGAAAATAATTCGATTATTTTGGAAAAATGTTTACGAGTTTGCAAAATAATATTTTAAAAATGGAATACAATTAATCGATAAAATAGTTATATTTATAAATCTAAATAAATCAAATGCTAAATTGTTCCAAATTGTATCTTTGAAAAGAATAATTCTCCAAATATACCCAATCAAGTCCGCTTTCAATGCACAACTAATTTGTATACTGCTGTGAATACAAACAGTTCAATCACGCTGCTTTCCAATTGAATCCATAGGGATTTCGGTTAAATCGGTGCTAAGTCACCAGGTGGCAGTAATGTTGGGCAATAGTTCGTTATTCGAATCAATTTCTTTTCATCGTTGCTATATTCACTTATTTATTTGGAAAAGAGGAAGAGAAAAATTTAATCATAAGAATAATTAAATTACTAAAACATTTGGCTAAATTTATCTAACGCGAAATAAGTGTTGACATAAATTAATTATTGTAAATAACTGTATCCCAATACTACGCTGCAACTTAACCGTGCAACTATAGATCTTTTGTTTACGAAGAAAAATAGAAGTCGCTTATATCGAACTCGTGCACAGCCTATTACGAGTGTCACTGTTTGAAAGACTCATTGTGACATGTGATAATCGATTTTCTGAATTTGCAGGTCGAGGACGGATTCCGTGAGATCCAAGTCCCCTTTGACAGCGTCGCCGGCATCTCCAGGGCCGTTGTCGAATTCCTTGCACGGCAGTTTTCACGGAAGTTTAGGAAGCGATGGCATGTCTTGCAGCAGTGCCAGATCATCCTCGGCGTCTCCTGATTCTGCAAGATACACATCCACACCGGTAATATAATATTTATTATAAAAATATAATAATAATATAAAAATAATATAAAAAAATATATTATTATTATCTTATTTTTATGTTTGTAATTGTGTCTGTAATTGTTTATATATGTTTTTTTTTGTTAACAAATTATATTATTATATTAACAATAGTTTCTTTTTATTGTTATTATTGTTATTAAAAATAACATGAAAAGATATGACAGTTCATACAAACAGATTATTCATATAATATAAATTACCTAATTTAATTTTTGATTCAATTATTAAGATTAATTCATATTGAATTATGAAAAATTATTACAAAATATTTTCATAAAACATTCTCAAAAGAAAATTATTTTGGAAATGATTTTGCAAGCAATTATTATTACTCTTTATTATTAAATTCCATTTTAAGTTCATTTTTTCAATTATATATATTAAAATTTAATTTTACATAAACATTCTCACTACTTACCATTATCATCATACGCATAAACGCACGCGTGTGTACATAAACCGAAACGAAAAGGAATAAATGAACATGGACAAGTTTCGTAACCGGTTACCGTTTCAAGGGTTAAACGGGCGAAGTAAATCATCGTCACGCGTTCACACGACCACGTGAACGTGCAGACGAGCGATATCGAAGTACATTGGCATCTGTCGATGACTCAGGATCGTTCCCTTTTCGAGAGACGCGTCTAGTGAACGGTTGTCGCGCATAACGCCTCGGGAAATCGTTATTCTTGCTAACGATGACTAATCGAGAATCGAGTTCGAGTATTCCTTCGATCTTTCCGTGCCACGCTTTTGCGCTTTGTATTACTCTGTCGGTATATAGTTCTATCTTCTATTTATTACCCTTCGGTCGTGAATATTTGACGACTGTACGTGTACAGATCGAAGAGAAAGGAGTATAAATAGGAAATTGGCAGGTCGAGAGTTTTCTCGAGGCTCGTTTAGGAAAGACTGTATAAAACTTGGTTCGAATCGAGGTTTCTCGTTTTCCGATGACTGGTCATGTTGGACGAGGAAAGTGGAAAATGAACTTGTTTAGACTCAGTTTTCGATTCAAGTTTTTTTAAATACTTAGAGATCGAAATTTGAAGTAAAAAATTTTCTATCATAATAATGGTTATTTCTAACTTTTTCATAATAAAAAGAAAAAATTAATTAAAATAATTTTTTCATATTGAGGTTATGCAAATCTATATAAGATAGTATAAGATAGATTCCATTATTTATTTGATAGATAAATATTGATTATTAAGTATTATAAACTGTTCAGATTCTTTTTATATTCACACTTCGAGTGTTGTAAATTGCATGCATAAGAGTCACTTGAAATTGATACGTCGATTTATTTTAGCATTGCTGTGTCTGTAAAAATATGGATATAATAGATTATGTAATTTTGAAGATTTTTTTTGATAAGATAAATGTACTTTATTTTATATTAACATTCTAACGGGAAGAATAAAATAAAGAATTTTTTTTTATAATCTTTCATTGTATTTTTATTAATTACTGGTATTTTTGAACAATCTTATTTATTAAGTGTACAACCAAGTATCGCTTGACATTTGCACGGAAATTAAAAATACGCGACGACCGGTCGATATTGCCTTTCAAAAATACATCCGTGAAGTTGGCGCTTCTTTCAAGTATCGACCGATAAAATTAATTGAATATGTCATTAACCATCACATAAAATTTTTCCATTTCATTGATTTAATGTGAAAAATTATACGTATTTATAATCTATTACTCGTCCTTTTATATCAGTTGTGAAGAAGTCTAAGTTAAAAGAGAAACGCATGACTGAAAACTACCGATAGAGAATATGGCGATTTCACGATAACTTGCTTCCTAATTGTCGTGCTGAAAATGAATTATATTACAGTGTGTGAGCAGGATGGGAAACATTGGGTAAACTTCGTCTTGAGACACCGAAAATTATTTACTTTTTTCCAAGTTATTTTAAGTCATTAAATTTCAAATATATAAATATATATTTATATATATATTTTATCTTTATAAAATCTTTATAAAATTTTTTCAAACATAAATGTTCATAAACATAATATTGATTTAGATTTGATCATTGATATCGAAGATTTAATAAAATTTGGAATAATTTTCAAACATTATAAATTTAATGAATCTTATCAATTCATCTTATTAGATTTATTAATATTAAATTGAGGTTAAAAAATGATATTTTGGAATCTATTCGAATATTCATTATTGAAGGAAAAAAGAAAAAAAAAAGATTTCTATATTTTGGTATCCCAAAGCGAAGAGCAACCATAATTTCTGCTATTCAGTACATTCTTCCCATTGGTTATTCCACATCTAGGTTATTCAAGACGTCGCCGTCTTTATTATCGGGTGCACTCGCGCGATCGCGTGATTTCGCTTTGACCGTGACTTGCACGCGTATGTTATCTACAATGTGTGACGAGAAATATTAATAAAGTTGGAATATTGGATATCTCGAAATTCTTTAAAACTTTAATTTTCTCAAATTTTCAAATTTTCCAATTTCGAAATTTTTATATTTTAACTCGATTTTTTTTGTAATTTGAAATGTGATGCAATAATTTACGAATTTATAAAGTTTAAAGAATTTAGAATTTATTATGATTTTAAAATTTTCATAATTTTGATATACTTTTTTTCTAAATATTATTGAATCAAAATTGTTATTTAAAAATATTTTATGTACACCCTATATATTAAATGTTAAACCTTAAATATTATATGTACACCCTATATATTACGACCACGATAAAGTCAAGCTTGATTGTTTTTCCTTAATTGTAATAGGCATCATTTCAGCAAATTATAGCATAGAAAGCATTATTTTAAGATGATTTAAGAGAAAGGACGAGCAATTTTGAAAAAGAGTATTAGTTGGATTTATAAGTAATTCTTACATTATAGTTATTTTATGCTATTAAATGTTCGTCATACACAAATTTCACGTATCATACAACATATTCTCTCTATGTGTTATAGATAACAAAAACTGACACACGTAAACCATCTGTGCGCAGATTGGGTCCTCCTAAGGAATTTATCAACATTTGCCTTGAAACGCACAATTTTTATCGCGCGAGGCATGGAGTGCCACCTCTTCGTCTCAACAAGCAGGTTACTTCCTTTTAATGATAATATTAAATAAACTTAACCAATATATATATTTAACTGAATAAATGAAATATCGTTTAATGAAATGTGAGATTAAAAATTCATGTAAATTCATTATTAATTTTATTAAATTAAAAATTAAAATGATATAAAATGATATAAAATACATTAAAAAAATGAATATACTAATTCTTCGTTTTCAGTTATGTAAAACGAGTCAGGATTGGGCTAATATACTGGCAACTAGAGGTAGATTAGAGCATAGGGCAAATACAGATTACGGTGAAAATTTGTATTGTATGTGGAGTTCTAATCCGAAGACTATTGTACACGGTGATGAGCCTGTAAACGAATGGTAAGTAATTAAAATTTTTTTTTTTTAATTCAAAATGCACAAATAATTTGTAATTTATAAATTATTTATTTTAAACGTATATTATCTATCCTATTTTATTATATATTTCTATAGGTATGCCGAAGAAGGGCAACATCAATACGGAAAAGAACCAACCACTCTAAAAACTGGCCATTTTACTCAAGTTGTATGGAAAGACAGTACCGAGTTGGGTGTTGGAATGGCCAGAAATCGAAATGGTGAAGTATACGTCGTCTGTAATTATAATCCGGCTGGAAATTTCCTGGGCAGTTTCACGGAGAACGTTCTACCTCTCGGTGTGAAACCTATAAAAAAAACTTTGCTAGAAACTCTGCCATATTACACATTAGACGAACAAGCATGGCAACAAGAGGCTTTAATCGTTCACAATGAATATAGGAGAAAACATCGTGTTTCAGATTTGAGGTTAAGCATAGAATTAACATCTGCTGCTAAGGTATATTTTTCATATAATAATTATAATAATCATTTATTTCTATTTCAAAAAAAATCTATTTCACTTTCTAAATATCTTCACCAATCTTTATCAAAGAATTAGCAATTCAATCAACTATAATTTGTCTTGAGCACGATATGACTTAGCTAGTTTGCAATTGACCGTGCACGCTTGGGTTCAAGAGTAACGCTCGATTACAAATTTTTTTCCGCTATCTTCAGGCGTGGGCGAACACGTTACTGAACACGAACAAGCTGATTCCTCAGACGTCGTCTCCGTACGGAGAGAATATCTACTCGATGCAGTGTTCCGATCCAAAGGTGATCGTATCGCCGCGGGAAGTCGTTTCGAAGTGGTATGCCGAGAAGAAGGATCATAAATATGGCATAGAGCCAAAGGTTTTAAATACATGTATGTAACACAATGTACAAAAACCTATTTACTAATTATCTTTAACGATAAGACTGTTAGAAGAAAAAGTAAAGATATTGTGCTAAAAATATTAGCTATTCAATTTTTAATGAACTAAGCGTACTGCAATGAATTGCTATTAATAAAAATTATTAATTTATAATATTTTTATATTAAAGAAATAATAAAAATATATGATATATTTTATATTTTTTTATGAACAATAAATTCTGTGAGAAATTATATTATTTGATAATCCTTCGTTTTTAAAGATAAATGTTCGAGTTTTGTTAATTCAATTTATTTTTCTTTTAAAACACAAATTATTTGTGTTTTATTGTTTTTCAAAATCTTTTCTTTCAAAAATTTTATTTTCTACTCATTTTTTAAAAATATGCAATGATAAATAAATTTATAAAAAAATTAAAATAATAATATAATTATATAAAATAATTAAAATAATAATATATAATAATTTTTCTTTGTTTAGGCCATTTTACACAGATTGTCTGGAAAAATACAACCGAGATGGGTATAGCAATAGCCAAAAAGGATGGAACCTGCGTAGTAGTTGCATGTTACCATCCGAGGGGTAACATTGTTGGACAATTCACGGAGAACGTGTTGAAGCCTATAAAGCTGTAGTTAGATGGATCTATCTACATTTGTCGATATTGTATTTAAACGCTGTATTTATAACTATCGTGCATAGCGAGAAGACAATATACATAATATATGTAAATATAAGAACGCAGATGTGCATACACGTAGAATAAAAGAAAACATTCCATGTACTACGCGTAATCAAGACATTTCGTCTGTTTTATTAATTGTCGATATCGCAATTGCATTGTGTTGCAACTCATTACTCTAGTAATGATAATTAAAAAACATGTATGTATGATGATAATGTTTGAGGATCGACTTTCTTTTTGAAAATATGATTAATTTTATTCTTATTTTGTAAAGGAAGATAAATTTTGACTTAAAGATTTTTTTTTTTATTTAAATGTAAAATTTTTTTACTAAGATAAAAATTTTTCTACAGGGCAGAAACATTCATTTGGTGCAATGATAGTTTCTTATTTCCTGACATAAATGCTTTTACTATTTTTATTGCTTTTTTTTTAAATAATTAAGTATAGATTTTTTGTTTGTTGAAACATCGGTAATCAAAAGATGGATTACTAATGAGATAATGATGCTAATTTCTTACTATAATTTCTTACAAATAAGTATAGCGTTAATAAAAAAAAAAAATTGTCAGTGACTGACCGTTCCTTCACTATTTACCTCAAAACCATGAAGTGAGATACAATTGTAATTTTTCTGACAATACAGCTACGGGTAGAATCTATGTAATATCGAATCTAGAATTCTTGTCATTTAAAAATACATATTCGTTATGTAATATTTTCTTTCTATTTTAAACAAAATAAATTATTCAAGAATTATTATATATTTAGTATTTATATCGACTAATTTAAAATATTTCGATTTTACAAATTGCCAGATAAATCTTAATCATACACATTTCCAAAATAAAAAAATACAGAATAAAAATTTATAATACAAAGTTTTCAATCCATCTATTTCAATTAATGTATGTTAATGGAATAAATTGTACTGCTGAAGCATTAGAAGAGAAAAAAAGGTATTACTGCTTTATAATAATTTATTTATAATAAATTTACATGCACACGTTGTGTGACAATGTGTCACGTGTATATAGATACATTTTCTCTCTGTTTTTCTGCTCTTATTTATATTACATACAGCCGTTTGTAACTTCTTTTTTCGTGTGGTCGAATATTAATTTTATATTCTTATATCGTGGAAATAAATTCTCGACGATATTGAAAACACTGGTTCTTCGAGATTCATGCTCTCGTTTCCAATTTCGACTAAACGAAAATAATTTTCATCGGAATCTCGGTGCTCTGTAGATCGATCGGGAAGGGGAACATGTTTTACATGTTACAATTCTATATGAAATTTTGGAATGGAAATAGTTAGTTTTTTGTATTTTCGACGATTTTATATAGTTCTATTTTTTTTTAATTGACAAAATGACAATTTTATGTAATTTTTTTTTTAATACGTGAATAAATTGATAAATCGAGCCAATGAAAATCGAAAGAAAATTCAAAAAGTTATTTTAAATTTTAATAGAATAGAAAGTATCAGGTAAAAAAGGAAAAAAATAATAAAACATTCAATTATTACTATTAATTTAACTTGTTGAATTTCTTGTAAAATTTTTTATGAATATTATTAACATTGAAAATCTCGAAGTAATATTCGTCAATTGAATTGAAAATCAATTTAAACCAATTATTTTTAAGCACACATTGCATTGTTTGTATAATTATCATGATTAGTTTAACCTAAAATGATTATGATTTTCAATTAAAATGCAAGAAATTCAAAAAGATTTTTCTTTCTTCTGACAAAATACTAATCAGATTATGAAAATAAGAAAATATGACGTTTTGCGTTATATTGTATATGGAAAAAAACGAGAGAAAATTTATATCATCTCGATATCGCAAGCTCGGCAGTTCACTTTACATAATTTTAACTTTCAGAACTCTTACGATAGACATAGAAATCTCAGAAGGAACTTGCGAAGAGGTTATTGATTTAAAGATTCACGTATCATCAAAATGCAAATAAAAATGGTTCCATTTTGTTTTTTTCTTTTTTCTTATGAAGACATAACAATATTTCTTTTTTTCTGATATATACTCACGTCTTAATATTACCGTAATATTAATCCATTTTTAACATAATGATATATTCGTTTGTTTGCACTTCCCTTTTTATCTTACATACACTAACCTTTATCTTTCAATCTTCCAATCTTTTTTTTTTTTTAAACTTTGTTTCTTCCTTTTTTTTTTTCTTTTTTCGTTTATTAATAGAAAATTTCCGCTCAAGATTATCATTATTCACGGTTCGTTGCTAATATTTATATAAACGTTAACAGAATCATGGACAATCGCTCTCTTATGTCAATCGTATCTAGCGTATTTCACATGCAGTCGAAAGCAGTTTTTTATACTTTCACATCGCTTTTTCAGATCGATAACGCATATTAATAATAGTTTGCGAACTACTCGCTCTCAGGTCACATTTATTTTTGATCGATCCTATAACAATTAATCTATGTACACTGTTCTTGTTTTAATATTTTCTAATTGATTTTTTTTTTTTATTAAATATAACTCTTTCATAGTTTTTTGTTACTTTTATTGTTTTGTTTTTCGTTTTTATTTCAATCATTGAATCAATAGAGAGATATAATAAGTAGAATCCTTTTAGTATCGAAAAATACAAGGTTAAATTTTGATAAATTTCATGTCAAATTCATCAATATATCCATCAATGTCCTCAAACTTTTAAAAGCTTACATTTCCATTCACTCAAATTTCACATTATATTTCTTTGGTTTTTATAATTGAACTTTTAACACATTCACTGCCAAATCAGTTTTACAACAAATATAATTAAAAAATAAAATTATTCTTTTTTAATCTTAATATAATACTTGTTTAAATTCCATTCAGAATTTAAACTATAATTTACGTACAGTAATAACGATTTTCTCATAGAAATATTCACAAATTCGAAAGTGGAGCCCTCTGACAAGTGTCAAGTGAATAGTGAAAATATGAATAGTGAAAAATGATTAATTCTAATAATGGAATTCAAACAAGTATTATTGGATTCAAGAAATGTTTATTAATGATGATTTCCACGTGACATAAACAGAAAATTTTGTATTAATCATATATTCGACAATGAACGTGTTAATATCTAACATTTAATATCTCTCATATCATGTTTAGACTCGAAACATAATATAGAGATTTATAATATCGATCAAATAGACCATTTTTTTCTCTTTGTGATTTTTATTTCATTGTTGGATTATAGAAAATCATCATTAATTATCTTTTGAAAAATATCACGGCTGCGTTTTTAAATATATGTACAAAATTCTACGAGCCAGTATCAATGAAGATGATCGGCGTTCATATACGAGGCAGGTTTTATTACGCTAATCAAATTGAGAAAGACAGAGAGTTAATGAGGAAGAGAAAGTTAAAAAAGCGGAAAACGGGACCAGAGAAATATTCGAATAAGAGTTTAAAATTTTCGCGTTATCGACGGTGCGTTAAGGAAAATTCATTTCCATTCTCGGCTAAATAGTATAACATATACATAAATTATAGAGATTGAAGATCGATTCGCTTCATTTTATATATTTTGATATTAATTCTAGATTGTTATTTTGGATCAATAATCTAAAATTTAATTTTAAGAAAAGTAATTTTTCAAATGTAATCTAAATAATTTGAAAAATTTGTTTAAATATGATATCTCTTCGATATATTTGTTAGTTGGCAAATTACGAATTTAATAATTTTGATGATTAAATTTAATAAATTCTCTTGTTTATAAAGTATTTTTATAAAGTATTAGGTTAATGCATTGATACTTATCTTTATCACAAATAAATTTCATTAATTTTTAAATTTTAATATTTCGAGGCATTTTGTTTGTCACCATCAAAAAACTATATAGTTTCATAATAAATAACTATACAATTGAAGCTGATCTGATCATTAATTGAATCATCAAACGCGTTTAGCGAAAGTAGCATCGAAGCAGATACTCGATAAGATGATGTTTGGTCAGAGAAACATGTAAAATTGGTCAAGAAATGATTGCAAATGCATGGAATCAAGAAATAGACATCATTTTTCATTCCTATCAACGTCTACGTACGTATTCATCTAACTGATTAAACAGATTGTCGAAACTTTGCTTTCTCTTATTTCAACTTCCTCTTTCATGGTTAAGAACAAACGTTTAATTGAATATTATAAATTTGAAGGATTCTCATTAAAAGATTTCATTGTTTCGAATTAATCATAATAAGAGAAGAAAAAAATGTGTTTACATAAAAATCTTCGATAAAATATTTCATTTCACACGGAATCGAGTTTTTAGGTTATAATCATTGATCGATTCTGAAATCTCGATTCGGTCATGCTGGTTTAAAATCATTTTCTTCTCTATACGTATAATGATCCTCCATCGATAAGTGATTTCTGTTACTCGCGTGATATGATTTAAAATGGTCATATATTTATATTTATAATCATAATTTATATGATATTATTTTTGTCATAAATTGGTTCTAGTATAAAATTATATTTTCAACCCTCGAATGTGATCCTACATAAGAATTGAGATTTTCACTAGGGAGACGATTCTCTCTCTTACCTATTGCTAGTTATCTCGAAAACATGTGATGATGAACTTGGAAGAGATTTATTTTATATATTTATAATATAATTTTATATGTAATAAATATAAAACATATAAGCATAAGAATTACAATTAAAAATTTGATATTAATATATACTTATTTGTTTCATAATTGAAAGATTAATAATGAAATAAATTTTTGTTTATTTTTATTTTTTTAAAATAAATGAATTATGAATTTAATTTAATTTAATTTTAATTTATTTGCAAACAATATAGTAATATTATGTATTTGAATAATTTTTCAGATTTAATTTTTTCTTATTCAATAAAATTTCTAACCATTGTATAAAATTAATCTCTTATCCATCATTACAAGTTTCTTTTCTCTACTGGTTCGATTTCTGGCACATGTTATTGCGCGTTTGTGGATCTAGCATATATTTGTGGTCGACTACATCATTGAAAATTTCCATCGAATCCACGGAAGTCGAAATGCCAGAGCCGACTAGAGAGCAAAACGTTTTAAGAACATAGCTTACTACGCACACCATGATTTATATTAAATGAGTATTTTGAAATGAAACTTGCAACAAATTGTTGAAAATGTATGATCATATTACATACAAATAGGGAATTATTATTAAAACAGTAATTAATTATTATCTTAATTTCATTGAAACAACTATATGCTGGCTGAACTGGGCATTGTTTAAATAAAATTTCTAATCAAATTATTTCTATATATTCTTTAAAATCGTTTTAATAATTATGTGATAACATCTGATAATATCTTTTTTGAATAATAGTATTATTATTTGGTCAGTTAAAATATTTTGTATATTTTGTATATTTCAGATTTTGAAATATAATTATCAATTTCTAGAAAGCTGTCAAAAATTATCATTGCTTTCTATTAGATATTAATAATAAATAAGTATAAAGATAAATACTTTTAAAATAAAAAGATCGTTGAAATCAATGATCACTTATCATTTATCATTTATCAAATAAATTTTTTAATAAATAAAACCAATCATGATAATGGTCAGAAGAAACACAAAATCTGCCCAGCTCTGCTCAAGATATACAAAAATGAAAGATTATCAGCATACTGGTGTATCACAATTGCGACTCTACGATGTCGCGTTTAGGTCCCCGATGGTTGCGACAAACCATGCCATCGCTATTAAATCTAAACTGAAATTACTATAATAGAACGAAGTAAAAAATTCGTTTAAACAGTTCATCTTGTGTTCATTTATTTCGTCACAGTCATCGATACGTATCACTGAAACACCTTGCTCTCCGGCCACTTTCCAATTACGATCATTATATAATCATCATTTCAATCCCACTAAAATCGTCGACAATCAGAATGCTGAGAGATAACATCCCACCTAGTGATTTTGACGTGTCATGTGGGAACGCTACAGCCATTTGTTTCGCACCACGCCGGAGAGCCTGCGTCCCCACATAAGGTTATATCATACGATTGTCCCTTGTATATGCTGAGGATCCTGCGTACCACCTTGAATTTGAGGCGACTGTGATCCTAATGGGCCCTGAAGAATTGGTGGATCATATAATCCGCCTAAAGATCCACCTAAACAAGGATCGATGTTAGATCCGAGAGCAGCAGTTAATTCTGGCATAGATGGCAGACCAACATCTAATATTCCAGTGTTGCTGGCGCCACCTATCTGAGAACCTTCCTCTGGCGGCGTTACTTCCAGACCGATAGAACCATTCAGAGCTATTTTGATCGGGTTGTGGTTTGATGGGTGGGATAATGCACCTAGACCTATATCCTCCAGACTACTCTTTCTTCTACTCATCGTCAATCCTTGTCTTAACGAATTGCTGCGTCTCAGAAGAATGTCGTCAACCACTCTTAACGAATTGGAACGACCACGTAAAGTACCAGCTACCGTTGGACTATCTGGTAAGGATAAGGAATTCGATTTTGTGGTGCTCAATGGAGGAGCCCTGGGCAGACCTATTCCCGATCCTCGACGACTTCCCGCGCCTGGCAATCCAGCTGAGGCTACAGCTGCACTCATCTGCGATACCAACTGAGCTGAACAGAAACTGATGTTGCTTTTCCGTCTGGAGTTGTGTCGTTCGAAGGTCTTTTGCGCTGAGAATGGACTTGGTCGCACCAGATACACTATGTCGCCTTCTTCGAGCTTCAGGTCACAGCTGGGATTGATAATCACATAGGACAGGTTGTTTCGTTTCTCGGAGACATCATCATAGTCGGCTACTGGCAAATTCAAAGATTCCATTCGGGAACGTACTAAATTGGCGATCTCTGCTCTCTCGATCTGCTGGGCATGGTTGTCTCGCGCTTCATCACCAAGGCTCACCGAATACTATTTATAGAAAAAAAATAAGATATTTAGTTTCAAGAATAGAAAAATGAATTTTTTCTATAATATACGAATAATACATTGTTAGTGCTTTTTCAAATAGTTGATTGATAATATAATGATGAGATAAATATTATTTTTTACAAATTTTGACATTTTTTAATATGTTAATTTAGTATTATAATAATTTCATCAAAAACTTATCAATCACCATCCCTTTAATGTCAAT